AAAAAAAAAAATAGTATTGTTTTATAAAGGTATACATCGTTCTAATCTAGTGGATTTTAGAATGGCAAGTCATATATTAGATCTTTTACTAGAAGAAAGACCAAAGGATGCATATACCATTGTTAACCTTGGTAAGATATACACATACATATGTTCGAACCTAGCTTACTTTGTACTGCCTTCGTAAAGTTGAAAAAACGAATATTCGATTTATGCACTTGCTACAAGGCAAAGACGTTGCTGAAGAGATTGACGTCTTCTACACTCCTGCTTATGCCGCAGGAGACGTAGTTGCCGATAGCCTGATTAGCAATGTGCTTCTTAGCCAGACTTACTACAAACCAGACATCGTCTCCATCATCAAAACACTTTGTGGAATGCCCGGGCCATTACATGATGGCTCAGCTGCTTACTTGTTATCAACTGACCCTGAGATTACAACAGCCACGGCAGCAGCTCGTTTAGCCCCGCACTTGACCAGTATTCCATTACCAGTAGAATTCATTGGCAGAAACTATGCCGAATTGTTCAAAGCATTGCTGTTGATGCATGAAATATTGGCTATTGGCTTATTTCGTGCCCCAGACGAAGCATTAGGCAATGAACTCCCATTTGTTTATGCAAACCCAGTCCCCTCTCTCATCCTAAAAGAATCTGATAGGGTCTATGTGTTCTCTCCTCCCGGATGGTTATAAAAAAAGTTATTTATTGGATATGCTCAAGTGAACTATCGCCTAAAATAGCAATGGATGCGCCCAAACACCATCCTGTTTCGACGCCATTAATCTTTTTAGCAACAGTAAGGTATCGATCATTAGGGATTTCATATCCATATGATAAAAGTCTATAAATAAAAGATAAATCCAAGCACCATTCGGGGCGATCTAATATTTCTTCCTTGAGTGCCACATCGGTCACATTGTCCAAATACGCGCCAGAGCAGACAGATTCTGTAAGGGCTTCGAGTTCAGGTAAGCGGAAGGTGGCAGGTAATCCAAGAGGTTGCGTTCGGTCATGGAAATATGAAAAGATATAGATCGGACCATGTTGGAATGATTCTGCAATGGGAGGCTGATAGATGCCATTAAATGAACAAGGAGATAGTTCACAGTGTTTGTTTTTGTTGAGCGTCAAGTCAGTCAAGTTGATGCATTCAGCATATGAGCCCTTTCCATTAAACTTGATGGGTTCAGTCACATCCTTGGTATATTCCCATAGCAAACCGCGAGGCAGACACGCATGACCATTATCCTCAGATTGCATTACCATTGCCTGTTTATGAATCTTCTTTCGAGCCTCCATTAAACCGTATCCCAAATATGAGTTTTGATAAAGCAGATAATCTTTACCATCAAAGTGGAGCACATACTTTGAGTCATGTTCGGGAAGTTCAGGAAGTGAGCCATCCGGCAGTCTATCAGGTTCAAACACGATCTGAGTTGATCCTCCTCCAAGATCCAGTACGGCGGCAGTATGTCGTTGGTTATGGTTATCAAAGTTGCCAAGTAAGAAATTGACAGTAATCCAAGCAAAGACACCTTCATCCTTACCGTCCATGATGGATACGTCAATCACAGGGAAGGGATATTCAGCAAGATGTGATCGAACTGCAGCCAAGATGGCCTCACTCTTTTGTTCTCCAAGCAAACGTAGACCAGCTGTTGCTTTTACTGCAATAGGTGTCTTCTTCTGAAGCGATTTAGGTACTACTTGAAGAGCGTCTTGCATCAGCGTATCCAAGGATTCGGCAGCCTTTTTAGGTTCATCAGCAAAGGCGGATAAGCCAGGAATAGTTTGTGTGAATAATTCTTCTTCTTCTAAAGTAACAGGGTCGCTCTTGGTACATTGGTGAAATCTGTAGACATGAATGCGAGATCCAGTTGATCCAGCATCTACCATCAGGGCATATTTTTGACAAGAAGGAATGGGCGCTGCAGATTCTATTGACAAGGTTTAGCGAGCGTTATCTTTTTCCGTGTGTTTATAGATCTTACTTGAAGCAAATGTATCTAGAATGTTTGGATAACGATAAAACACAACAGCGGCAATGACACCAAGTAAAGCAAACACAATTCGAACAGAGGCAAGTGATTGCTTAGTTTGTCCTTTTGTTGCTGCTGCCTTTCTTAACTGTTCATAAGGTGTTTTTAATCTTGAACCTGGTTGTTTCTTGGGTGGCATTGCTGTTCAACAGGTAAAAAATAAAATAGTGATAATAATTTATACAAGAAAAAAAGAAGGGGTTTATTATGATTATCTCTGTATGCAAGTATAAATATTTATAGAAAGCACTCAAAGCCGGTTTCGGATAAACAAGTTGACGTTTTACCGAGTTTAATAATAGTTTCTATATTAACATTGCTTCCAAGCAGTTTTTGCAAACTCAATCCACATCGTACTGCTTGTAAAAGTAGAATAAGTCGTATTGGCCTTCCATGTTTGATCTGTCAAGTTATATAGTAAACTTCTCAATTGATTATCGAAAAAGTCAAGGTAGACGATATCAACCAACGCGGAGTTGTTTTGAGTGTTGGGTAGATCCGAGCCAACATAAGCAGGGGAAGGGTAGTAAGGAAGAGGGATATGGGGCGTATCATCACCTAAAGAACCGGAAGATTTTAGTTCCGACTAAGTAAGGGGAAATTCGGCAATATCATCAAGCTTACCACCAGTTCCGTAGTCATCCTTTGTGACGTATCCAAGAGTAAGTTTGGTCTTATTGGCTGTATGGAATTCTTGTACGTGAGTATTCAATCCGTGGGGCCAAATTGAACGTTTTTTCATCTCTCCTTCATGATTCAGGGCAGGCAAGACTTTACGAGCAACAGATAATGGAACGTCAAAGATAGCATAGAACTTGTCTTCAAAAGGCGAAAGTTGGTACATGTTGCTGAGTGTAAATGGACCCTTATAGACATCATATCGTACACCACCTGAATTATACAAGAAATAAGGGGTGTTTGGACGGCTATGATCAGCCACTACTTTGGGCATGACTTCTTGTGTGATTAGACGGAATACACTTGAGTTATCACTAACAGGAACAGCAGATAATGGATAGGTTTGAGGAGCGCATCCCAAAAGCTCGGATAATTGAAACTTTTTGCGAAGTTTTTGGATCTTTTCGGTCATTTTCTTACCAATGCGGGTATCAAATGTCTTTTCCTTGCCGTCAACAGAATGGAAGATGTAGGTAGGCCTGTTTTGATCCAAGTAGCGTCTGTTGAAAGTAAGGTTTCCTGTTGGCTTGGAGAGTCCCTATGGATTTTTGATAAGCTAATGAAAAGTTCAACAGTTAAGCTTACCTCAATAGAAAAGAAGCCAATTGTTTCCAAGTATCTACCAGATTCAATACCTGCAGCACGATTATCATATTGAACAAAGTCTCTTATATGTCTATAAACAAGTTGAGATTATATTGTTCAAAATTTATGAAGCTATCTCTTACGTATGACCGCCTAGAACAGCAATAGGAATGGTTGGGTGAATAGCACGAATAGCCTTGATGATATGGTGAAATTCATCAAATCGAATACCAACGTGACCAATGAGAGTGATAATATCTGGCTTATATGCTCGTAAAGACTGGTTAAACCATGGCTGGCGAATTTCGTTCTCGACAAGATTGACGACAGACATATCACCGTTGCCCTTGAAATTGAACAAAAAGCCATAAGCAAGAACACGTGTGCCAAATTCGCCCTTGAAATAAGTATACTTGTTGCTAAGTGAATAGAGGATGAGCCTAGATACCTTAGTGATTTTTTCTTCTCTTTCTTTTTTTACCCTATCTGAACTGTCTTGTTATTATGTAAATCCTTAAAGTAAACATTAGCAGCCAAATAACGATCCTTCCAGTGAGGAATAAAGTTTTTGATAGTATCCACGGTAATGTTGTTGACTATAAAGTATGTTTATAAAATGGAACTGTAATATACAAGTCTTTCTACCATAAAGCTCATGATTTCCAATTGTTAAAAGATCATAAGGTATGTTTGTGAGAAGTGGTTGGGATACTTCACCTCTTGGATCCGTAATGTCACTCAATCCATCACCTATCAATTTTGCTTAAGTCATTCCCCTTTTCTCATAAAATATTGTCATGACTACCATCATGTGTGTCACCAGTGTCTACGATGAATAAGTCCTTCTTGAGCTTTCGAGCCTTCTCTTTCATTCTGACAGCAAAAGAATAGAAATCACCCAGATCACCATTGTATGAACCTTCAAGGACATGTCCCTGAAAAAAAATAAAAAAATACAAAATTAATAACTATTAAACTTATCAACAATCTGTTATATATACCTCAAGCCAGCCATGAGTATCAGTGGTGTGAATAAAGTTGACATCGCCCCATACTAAGGGTCTAAGAGGAGGTAACTCTGGTGATTTGACAGCATCTTTTTGTTGACGCTTGTCAATGACATGGCCACTAACTGAATGAGATAGCAGTATCCCCGCTACCACCAAAGTAGAGTACAGCATGATGTGATAAGCAGTTAAAAAGAAGAGAAAAAAGAGCTATCTGCTTTTATATGTTTCGAGCAATGAACAGGGACAAATGTATCGAATATGGGTTTTCATTCGGCGAAGGAAATTTTTTGGTGTTCCCCCTTTGTCTCACCCTTTACTTTTTTTTTCCATGAGCAGATCAACTTTGATTTACAACCCAAGATAACAACTTTTACGCAATAGAAGTAGTAGATCGTCACAATAAATGAGTTAAACAGAGAGTAATGCATCCTCTACTTTCCTATTCTTTTTCTTATCTCCGTAATAAAGTTTAATCAAGTGTACAGATAAAGTGACACAAATCAACATAGGAAAAAAAAAGGGCAGAGTAAATAGAAATCTTTATAAATCTCACGTTGGCTTCGTAAATAATTTCATAGAATAGGAAAGAAAGGGAAGGCTTTAGCTTTATGAGTACAAAAATAAGCAAGGGTTCTCATTAATCCATTTCATTCTCTTATGCTAAATCAAGAAAATTATTCCTTATTAAGTCATACGGCCGCTGAGATACCAAACATATATACAAAAGGTCTTTACGCGTCACTTAAAGCGAACAGTCTTGAAACATAAACATAAACAAAAGCAGCAGATCAAGTCATTTCAAGAAAAATGTTTATTAAAGATTATTCCCAGAAGCCAATGTTTTGCACCAAAGAAAGCCTAAAAGGGAAGAAAAAGGGTCAGCAACGATGCCAAAAGACTTCTAAAGGTTCCGATTGCTGCTGTGACGGCATTCTTCAGGTTGGCCATTGACCATCAGAACAAGGGACCAGACACCCATACAGCCAGACTATCAAATACCAAGCAGCCTGCAAAGACCCGCAGTAGCAGACGTACCGTTGGGGTATGCACTAGCTGAGCTTTGTCAATTGTCAACTAGCTTATGTACCCATTTGCGCCAGACAGCAGGAAGCATTACTGACAATCTGTCACAGCTGTGATCTCAAATAACTAGCTCCCAGCTAATTACTTAGCCCCCTGTAAAGATTCCAATCGAATATCCACAACTCTTCTTCTGGCTGCCTGGAAGCCTCCAGTTGAGTGATGAAACGAACAATCGTTGTCAGTCCAGAATACGTGTTGAGCATCATAGAAAGAGATTGCATAGAAATCCTTGAACACACAATCACCGCCTTGCTGAGTAAGTTTTATAAAAAATCTTACATTGACCAAAGAGAACAACCAAAAGAGCCACCAAAAGAGCTACCAGAAGGAACCAAAAAGAGTATAAGAAAAAAAGTATAAAGAGAAAAGAAAGAGAGAGAAAAAGATATGAGAGCAAATTTCTCTCTTTTTATACCTTTTCTTTAATTTTGTGAAGTTGTCAAAAGTTCAAACGCTTGAAAATAAGGTTTCGTAAAAAAAAGCTTTACGTGACACTAGTCTATACCAAAAATGGAAACCATTTAATCTACAATGAAGATAATAATAATGTATGCATAAATAATGTCAGTGGCAACAATAATATAAATAGCAGTCATAGATTCTCTATCCACACAAATTTAATAACATCCAGCTCTTAATAATCTAATTCGCAAGTCATCGACATAACTGCCTTTTTACAATAACAAAGCTGAATGCAACATTGTCCCAAGAACTTCAGCGCCCTTCACAAAGGTCGAAAGACTTCTGAACCAGTACATCAAAAAACATGCAGCAAATAAATGGATGTTTATCAGTAAAAAGTACGAAGAAAAAGGATTTGTACCAAGTCATCCACTTTTCTTTATGACAGAAGTGCATATCCAGAAAGCAGCTTCTCTGCTGTTAAAAATCTTTGTTAACAAAAATTTGTATCCACATAAAATCAAAGAAGCTATGTTGAATTTACGAAAGATTCCAGTAAAATCATTGACAGCTTCTGGGAAACTGATAAAGACGTACATGTTGGATTTGAATAACAAAAAAGAGCTGAAGAGTGACATGCTGTTCATATATGAAAGAACTCTTGCTGGAGTTCTCAAGAGACATAACATTACTGTAGCTGAGAAAGCCGAAAATGAATGCAAGCTAGTAGCCGCTGATCTCTTCAACGAAGAAGCATGGTTTTTATTTAACTAAAGTTGTTTAAATATGTTTATTGTGGTGAGAAATGGTAGCATGGCTCATAATTGTATATAAAAGAAGAGTTTGTTAGAAAATAGTAAGGGGCTCGAACGCCATATTTTATTGGAAGAAAATTAAGATTAGACACTTCTTTTAGTCCTCAAAGCATTCCTAAATTACTTTGATTAACAGAGTCAACCGTGAGAAGATGGAAGTTTATCTGACTCCAAAAAAGCATATCTTCAGATCCCTACTAACAAAAAGATATTAGGTGGTGTTCACCGTTTCGCGAATTGTAAAAGCAGCTGTAGTAGTCCACTTGAACTCGTGCACTGGACAATCAACAAATCCCTGCCGAAGCAATGAACCGTTGAAAAACTCCTGTCAATCCGCTTTTGCAAGATAACTTCAAGACTACATTATCAAATTCACACTACAGCTTTGGATCTCGGCCGAGCACGTCCCGTAGGATAGCGCACTGTGGGAAGACTTCTTTCTGTAGTAAGGAAAAAAGAAAAAAGAAAATGGCAAAGAGAGTAGATATAAGGATGCAAATAAAGTATGATTAAGGGCAGTCTGTCTTGTTTCGTCAAGTTTACTTTGCCTTTACACCAGTTCTAGACTACATCAGCCATAGTCCAGCAAATAATGACACAGTCATCACCTTTACTTCGTTGACATTTAGTCATAAAAAGGAAGACAATATTAAGAAAACCTCATGCATAAACATAATCTTATAGTGCATTTCCTTTCATTTTTTATACCTGCTCAAATTGGAAATGGTTGAAATCATCTAATACTTGGCAGATGTTTTGGAACTGACTGCATTTTTTTTTATTATTATTATTAAGTCGACTCTTTCTGGGCAACAACCGCGTATAGGTTGAATTGACCGCATTCGTTAGCCATGCAATGACGTAGATTTTGAATGAAGTCCTTTTGTTCTTTTTCATTTTTGAGGCCTAAACGAGGTCCGAATACGATCATTGCGCCCTTTGCAATTTCCACAACGCTTCGGATAAGCCTTTCTGTTATATTGTTTTTGATTGCTATTTGATTTTTTTTTTTGGTTATTAGAAAAGTAAATTTGTCAAATTGATATACTTTACTTGTATCAACTAGACAAGTTTTCGTATCAATAACATGGCAGCCTTTTGTTCTTTTTACCATATCCTTTAGCTGGGGGCCAGCAGATACAATTTGACCCCTTTCTTTACATATTTCTCGCGCTAAGAAGATAATGTTGGGAAATTAGTGCTTAAATAATCTCTATATTAATACTTACACGCCATAACAAATTGATAGTATAAGCTGTCTTTTTTCTTGGGTAACTATCTCAGTTAAAAGCAGTCAATGTAATTAAATAGTATGTAAAGTTTACTTACATCCCCACTTGATTCAACAAATTGTAAATAGCCTCTCGGCTTAGTCACTCTAACGGCTTCCTTTATTGCCAGGGGCCATTCTTCTTCACGCAGAGAAAGCACAAGTAGCCGCATATGGACAAAATCAAAAGTATTATCTTCATAGGGTAGTCCTTCAACCACATTTCCAATAGTGAATACGAACTGTTTTGGCATGGTTTCTTTGTCTGTTACGTCCACCAAATCGCATCCATAGTATGTGCAATTGGGATAATCTGATATTGTATCCTTAGTAACTGTTAATTTTGTACATAAAACAAGAATGATGGACAGAATATACCTTAATCCAAGCACCAGCACCACATCCAATATCCAATATGGACACTCCACTATTCAAATCAAGATTGTTTGCTACACAAGGTATAATATTCCTAAGAAAGGGAGTTTACTGTCAACAGAATAATACGTGTATGAATAGAATTTACCCTCCAAGTAATTCTTTAAAAGCAAAATGTTGCTACAACAATAACTATTAAGCATTGAGCTACATTATACATGCAGCTTACATCAGCGAGTCTCCTCTGTTCAGCTTCGTCTTTTGGAAGCCAATAAGCCGAGGTTGGAACCTGATGAAACTCCCTTTCTGATATTATAGGTGATATTTGTTCATCTTCTTTCATTTGTCCTTTTAATTTTTATATGTTGATAATAATGAACTGTTTAATAAAAATACAAAAATATTTGATATATTTTTAAGACTCTGTTTTGGGGATGATTGTTTGCCTAAATTGTCTTTCAGTAAGCCAAGTATGGAAAGAAGGATTTAAATACTGAATAATGAAATATTGTCTAATCAACTGGCAACTTTACTTATAAAAAAATAGGACTTTATGCATATTTCCACAAGCCATAACATTTGTCATTTGATAAAATACTCCATGGCACGCGTACTTTTTCAACCTGTGTAGAGCAAGTTTCTTTTTTGTTTTGAAAACATGATGTTTTTATATCCAGATTTATTTATCAAAGAGAAAGAGAGAAAGAGAGATATGTAATTCAATTATATTTAAAGGCATGAATGTATATATATATATATATGTTCAGCAAATGATGCAAAAAAAAGGAAGGACTGAAAAGAAAGGATATCATGTGCGATATGAATGCAAAATGCGAATGGAATATATAGTATATGTAGTAGGGGGTATGAGCAAACAGAAGGTCCTTGATACTTGCTTATTTTTACATCGTTGAGTCTGCTGCTATCTTGCCTTTTCGTTTTGTATTAAAACGAGGTGGTGATAATGTACGAATCATACGCATCTTTCCTGAATTGAGTATCACTTTTTTCTTTGCTGGCAATTCTTCATCCTGTAATTCACCCAAAGTGATCTCTTGTAATGGTAATCTCTGTTCTGTCGTTGATCGTTTAACCCACGTCTTGTTATTGTTCACATTCAATGAATGAGGTGGTTTATTCTCTACATCATTGAGCTGTCTTTGATCCACTAGCTCGGAAAGTTCATTTTGAGTGTTATTGTCATGGTATATGCGATATAACCACATGTCGCTAGGATCATAATGTTTATCTACAAGGTCATCGTCCTCATCATCAAATAATGATCGTCTTGTAGGTGGACTGAGTGATAGCATGGAATCTTCAAACTTGGTATAAAATCGATTGGTAGGTGATGTAGACATGGGACATAGACCTGATGAAAATAAGTCGCCGTCGTCTGATTCCTCTTCTTCTTCTGAAAAAGATAGTTCCTAACAGGCTAGTTAGCACACTGTATTGTTCATTATCCCTATATCCATTCTTACTCTCTTTTTTTCAAGTATACCAATCTTGTCTTGGCTCAGGAACATGTCAAGATTAGGATGAGCCACGTTTTCTTCACGGTTTGATACTTCCATCAAGCGTTCTTGAAATGATTTTATAGGACGTTGTAATGTATCTGTACGGCTTATTGACATACGTGATAGTCTGGTGCATGGAGTAAAAGATTGATAAGGCTGTGGCTGAATAGTTGGTCTTTCAGGTGTCTTTGGACAAACATATTGTTGACTTGACATGTTTCAAAATAAAGTTGTTTGATTAAAAAGCAGTAAGTAAAAAGAAAAAAAAGACAACAAATAGAAAAAGGACTTAAAGTGTATTTTAATCACCGTTATCCAATCAAACACGTCAATTGTATAAGTGTGTTTCCTTTTTTAGTATTTAGTTAATTTTTACGCGTTTTTATCCTTTTTTTGATAGACGCGTTTACAAGTGATGCAAAACAATGAATCAAAACATTTGATTAATGAGTAAGTTGAATTGAACAAGTCATTTATTATGAAATGACAACAATTACAAAAAAGAGAGAGATAGAGACAGAAAGCGAGAGAAAAAAAGAGGAAAGAAAAGAGAAAGAAGAGAGAAAAAAAACACTTTTTTAAATGTTTCTTTTCCAGACATTTTGTCATACAGTTCACAGTAAGCAAATGGCCTCTTAAAGAACATCAAATAATGACTCACTTCAAGAAATTATATCAAACCACATAACAATGTATCCATACAATGGGTTGCTTTCAGATGAACTCGTCTTTCTAAATACTTTTAAAGACATTGACAGCATGTTGAATAATATTTCAAAAGAGCGTTGTTATTGACTTTCAATAAAAGTTACAAAACGATCGTTGGCTATATATCGCTGCTTATTTCCATAAGCACTGTTCTTCTTTTTGTTATTGTGAGAAGAACATAGTTGCTGCTGTCTACTGTGCACTTGCTCTAATTGTAAAAGTTGATCAACAAAGATCTGAATTCGTCCCAATTGCAGCAAGCTTTTTGGGTATCGTGAATGAACCGACTTTAAACGTGACATAGAACTCTTCAGAAAGGAAGAGCTGCCCTGTCTTTCGGGAAAGGTCAAAGTAGTTGATATAGTTGAATATGCAGGTTATGCATTAATTGATTAATGTTGTTTTTGATGTATCCTGCCTGTCTTTCTTAAACGAAGGATAGTACGATAGACATGGTTTATTAGCTTATGAATGATGGTTTATAGTTGCATGAATACACTCAAGCAGTATCACATTCATTCAAACTATAAAAAATGTCAAAAGAAATAACTGGCACTATTAGTAATTTTATGCATAAGCAAAAAAAAAGTCCAGTAACCGTGTGGCTTGTACCTTGAATGTCAAACTAGCTAGTAAATACTTTTTTTTTTTACACATTAGAAAATAAAAAAATGACAGCTCGAAAGGAAGACGAAATGGAAGTAGATTCCTTGGATGCATTAAAACAAGAATATTATCAAGGAAAGCACATTGCAGAACCAGTAAAAGAAATTGAAGTAAGAGCATCACTCATTCAAATAAATATATCACCAACAGTTGTTCCCCCTCCCTTCATTAGGAAAAATGGAAATTATTACCAGCCTTTTTGAAAGTAAAAGGCCTCGTCAAGCAACACATTGATTCGTTCAATTATTTTGTCAATGTTGATCTTAAAAAGATCGTCAAAGCCAACGAAAAGGTGACATCAGACGTAGATCCTCACTTTTATTTAAAGTAAGCCCACACTTTTTTTTTGATGTTTTTTGGCTGACAATGAGTTAGATACACTGGTATTCGTGTAGGCATGCCTGAACGTACAGACGACGATGTTGCCAACAGAAGTTATACACCTCATGAATGTCGACTTCGTGACTTGACTTATTCGGCTAATATATTTGTTGATGTCGAGTATACTCGTGGAAGACAAATTGTCAAAAGAAAGAATGTTATGATTGGTCGTCTACCCATCATGTTACGTTCTTCTCATTGTGTATTGACTGGTAAAAATGAAGCAGAATTAGCCAGAATGAAAGAATGTCCTTTGGATCCAGGCAAGTTTTTTTTTTCTTTTACTTTATTAGTAACCATTAACAAAAAATCTATAGGAGGATACTTTGTTGTAAAGGGAACAGAAAAGGTTATTTTAGTACAAGAACAACTATCAAAGAATCGTATTATTGTCGATGTTGATAAAAAGAACAATATTGTTGCCAACGTGCAGAGTTCAACACATGAGCGTAAATCAAAGACAGCCATTTATGTAAAAAACGGCAAAATTTACTTGAAGCACAACTCCATTTCTGAAGATATTCCTGTGGTTATTTTCATGAAAGCACTTGGCGTTCAATCAGATCGTGAGATTTCACAGTTAGTATGTGGTAACGATCATGACTTACATGATCAGTTTGCTATCAATGTCGAAGAAGCATCTCGACTTCGTGTCTTTACACAGATGCAAGCATTGGATTTTATCGGAGCTAAAGTCAAGGTCAATCGTAAGATGGGACCTGTCATCAAAAAGACCTTGGCAGAGGAAGCATTGGAAGTACTTGCTACTGTCATCTTTGCTCATGTGCCTGTAGAGAACTTGAATTTTAGAGAAAAGAGTATCTATGCTGCTATCATGATTCGTCGTGTCTTGATTGCCATGACCGACACCGTTCAGGTGGATGACCGTGATTATGTTGGTAACAAGCGTCTTGAATTGGCTGGTCAATTGCTTGCGCTTTTGTTTGAAGATTTATTCAAAAAATTCAATTCTGATCTCAAGATGAACGCAGATAAAGTACTCAAGAAACCTAATCGAACACAAGAATTTGATATCTTTAATCAACTTGTCTTGCATGGTGATCACATCACAAGTGGATTCATTCGCGCTATCTCTACAGGAAATTGGGTCTTGAAGCGTTTCAAGATGGACCGTGCAGGTATTACACAAGTCTTATCCCGTCTTTCCTATATTTCTGCCTTGGGTATGATGACACGTATCTCTTCACAATTCGAAAAGACAAGAAAGGTGTCTGGTCCAAGAGCTTTGCAGCCCTCTCAGTGGGGTATGCTGTGTCCCTCTGATACACCTGAAGGTGAAGCATGTGGTCTGGTTAAGAATTTGGCTTTGATGACACACATCACAACAGATCAAGAAGAAGAGCCCATTCGAAAGATTGCGTTTGCATTAGGTGTTGAAGACGTCAATCTCTTGACAGGTGCAGAAATTTACAGACCCAACACATTCATCGTTCTCTTGAACGGTGTCATTCTCGGCATCACCCGTCGTGTTCAACACTTTGCCAAGAGCTTCCGTCGCCTACGTCGTGCTGGTCGCATCTCTGAATTCGTCTCTGTATTTGTCAACATTCATCATAGAACAGTCAACCTGTCCTCGGACGGTGGTCGTATCTGTAGACCATTGATCATTGTCGAAAACGGTGTGCCTGCTGTAAAGCAACACCATATCGATGACCTGATCGCAGGCAAACTCACCTTTGACGACTTCTTAAAGGGCGGTCTTGTTGAATATGTCGATGTAAACGAAGAGAGTGATGCCAATATTGCTGTTTATGAAAAAGACATTATACCACAAACAACACATTTAGAAATTGAACCCTTTACCATCCTTGGTGCTGTTGCAGGCTTGATTCCTTATCCTCACCATAACCAATCGCCCAGAAATACATATCAATGTGCTATGGGTAAGCAGGCCATTGGTGCTATTGGCTATAACCAACTGAACCGTATCGAAACCTTGATCTATCTGATGGTCTATCCTCAACAACCTATGGTCAAGACAAAGACGATTGAACTGATTGGCTATGATAAATTGCCAGCTGGTCAAAACGCTACAGTGGCCGTCATGAGTTACTCTGGTTATGATATTGAAGATGCCTTGGTATTGAATAAATCAGGTTTGGATCGTGGCTTTGGTCGTTGTCAAGTGATGAGAAAGTATGCTACTATGGTCAAGCGATATCCTAATGGTACCTATGATCGTCTGGCAGATCCACCTAGTCGTGAATCCGAATTGTTTAATGAAAGTTATGACGCAATTGAAGCAGATGGTATTGCTGGCGTCGGAGAACCTGTAGAGGCAGGATCAATTTACATCAACAAGCAGACACCTGTGAGTACAGGTATTGATGCTGTACCAGGTTCAGCACAGACAGTGGCCTATAAGCCTGCACCTATGCGATACAAGTCACCACAGACAGGTTATATAGACAAGGTACTGTTTACAACTACAGAATCAGATCAAACATTGATCAAAGTCAACATTCGTCAAACACGTCGACCTGAATTGGGTGACAAGTTCTCATCTCGTCACGGACAGAAGGGTGTGTGTGGTATCATTGTCCAGCAGGAAGATATGCCATTCTCTGACTTGGGTGTTTGTCCCGACATCATCATGAATCCTCACGGTTTCCCATCTCGTATGACAGTGGGTAAAATGATTGAATTGCTAGCTGGTAAAGCAGGTGTGTTGGATGGATCATTGCAGTACGGTACAGCCTTTGGTGGATCCAAGGTAGAAGATATGAGTCGACTTTTGATCAAGCATGGATTCAATTACTCTGGTAAAGACTATGTAACATCAGGTATTACTGGTGAACCTCTCTCTGCCTATATCTTCTTTGGGCCCATCTATTATCAGAAATTGAAGCACATGGTTATGGACAAGATGCACGCACGAGCAAGGTAAATTAAGAAAAAACAATAGCAATTTATTCCATATTAATTTATTTCTACAGAGGTCCTCGTGCTACATTGACACGTCAACCTACAGAAGGTAGATCAAGAGATGGTGGTCTTCGTCTTGGAGAAATGGAAAGAGATTGCTTGATTGGTTATGGTGCATCGATGTTATTGTTGGAAAGATTGATGATTTCATCTGATATTTTCGAAGTACATGTTTGTAGCGAGTGTGGTTTTATTGGATACTCTGGCTGGTGTCAATTCTGTAAAAGCTCCAAATTTATGAAGACAATGCAAATACCCTATGCAGCCAAATTGCTCTTCCAGGAATTATTGGCCATGAACATTTCACCACGTATGATCTTAGAGGATGCTATTTAAATAATGTAAATAATAATAATATAATAAAATGACCTTACTCGAATGTATCTCGTTTACAAATAAATATAAAAAAAATACATACACACAAATATTCACAAGAGTTTATTATTATTTTTATACATACATTTACAAAAAAGCTTAGGCTTGACCTTCATAATCCTCAACATCTTGTTCAGTATTCGTACGGTGAGACCGTCTTCCGCCTTTACGACCAGCTTCTTTTGCACGTTCACTACCTTGAGTGAAGCTACCACTAGAGGCTTTACCGCCCTTGGAAGCAATATCGTGCTGTTTTTTCATAAGTATCGTCGACATTTTTTAAAAAAAACTTTCAATACATACCTGCTTCTCAGGATCCATACTAGCAAAACCACCAGTGTGGCTGGCATGGCCACCTTTGGAGGCAATTTCTTGAACTTCCTCTTTGGGACGGTTTGCAAAGTTAGTGGGGTTATTGTTACGACTAGACATAATTGTATAAATTCAATAGTTGAAGCTATCAAAAAAAATAAACGTTTCCCCTTCTTTTTTATATGTATAATCGGAGGTTTCAAGATTAAATCAGTATGAAAACAAAGTTATTTAAACCTGTCAATATGAAATCATTTTTAACGAAACAGTGTGGTTCATTTCAAAGGTCTCTTGCTTTTGCATACGTACACTTGATCATGCTTATTATAGTCGTACTTAAACTGATTACATAAAAGTAAAATATTAACACGAAATGATATACATCTTGGATTGTTTTTGTTATAGACATTGTTTTCTCTCTTCTTTATTTTGTTTAGTTTCAATATAAGTGATGAAAATTTTAGCTTGCATAAATGATTAAAGCACTTATTAGCTTCATAAATAAGACACTCTATTAACAAAAGTGTTCTAGCACATCTATGAAAATTGATACTAGCAAATCATCTTGTAGTTATCTTAAACAAGTAGGCTGCATGCAAAACAAGATTCGGTCAAAAAAGAGTGTTACTTTTAATAAGCTGCTTTTACATTAGAATTAGATTTACATTAAAGTGCATCATGAGAAGACTCAGCGATAACTTGGTCCGGAAGAGGGGAGCAAAGAAAAGAACGGACGAGGCCATACTCGATACTCTCCCTTTAAGCTAGTACCGGATTAGTTTCGACTATGATCTTGGGACAAGCTGGGGAATAGCATTGGCCCTATTATTTGATCCCAAAAAAAAAGGAAAAGCTTTTTTATGTGTATTTACAAAAACAATTATGACATTCCACAGTTTAGAGAAATCTCTTGAAGTCTTCCATTAACCCGAAAGGTCAACCATTCGTCCACCTCAACGGTCTGAGTTCAATATCTCTTAAATCTCCTTGGTGCGTAAGCCAAGCACGCAGGTTTTCAAATTCAATGGGAAATGACTTGGGAGGCTTCACTTTTGCTCCACGTTCGTTGAATTCAGAATAATGATATATATATTTATAACTGTAAAGGTTTCTACCATTGCTTACAATAAAAAAACACATTTTCTCGGCACAGTCCATAGAAAGAGATAGAAATCCTTTTTTATACTGATAGAAGCTGAGATTTAAAACGATGTCAACTGCCTAATGCAACTTTGCATTTTTTCTTGGCTTCTTTCTTTTTTTTTTTTTTCTTTATCCAATTATAATGAGAATTTATTTACTGACAGCAGCCTTATTATTACTTTATGCAACACTCGTCTATGGTAAAGTAATATGTGAGGCAGATCTTGTTGGAATGGTCTAATGTAGCTTATTTCTTTACTAGCTGACTACAAATATATTTTGGGTCTGAAGTCAGATGCAACAGACGAAGAATACAAGACAGCCAGAAAGAACATTGAGTCTATGGGAGGCAAAGTGACTTACGAGTTTCATTCGACTATGAAAGCTTTTGCATTTATAGTACCAGATAACACTATTGCAACTAAAGAGCAACCAGCTTTTGTTGACTTTCTTGAAGAAGACAAGACAGGTAAAGTGCCGCATAAAATAATAAGCCAAACTAACTCGGTAGTAGTTCATATTTATGACAAGTAAAACTAATGCCAAGACATACTAAATAAATCATATATTTCTCTTCATTTTTTATAAATTAAACAGCATATTCAAAGGAACCCATTTGACCAAATGAATAAGCTATCTATATTATTGTAATAATAAAGACACTGTATAAAGTTGAGGTTGATGGGTATTAAAAGTGTCTAGAACCATTGCACTATCACTCATATGAACAAAACTCAAATCTTGGCATAACCTAGTGTTGCAAAGAACGGCCTACAATCTAAGAAAGTCTATTTGGATGTCAACCGTGCTTTCATTAAGGATGCTTCCATGCTTACATTGATATGACAATACGCATTACTCTTATTCGCTAACAAAGAGTACCATATTCCTACAAGTGGATAAGACATGTTTAGCTTGCTAAAAGATGCCAATAGTCTTGAAGCAGCGTTATTACTGATCAAAGCAAATAAAAGGCGTACACTCTTATACATACATAAGTACCAAGTCAAAGAACTTCCAGTTATGATCCCAAGGGGGTACTTTAATAAAATGCAAATACCAGTCATACCTCCAAGTTATTTAGTTATGTCTCAGGTACGGTCAAGTGACGATCAAAGGAAGTGCGCATACAACTATGCGTAAGCCTTGAACTGAAGAAGAGAAAGAGGGCAGCAGACTATGATAATGCTGGTACATTTAGTGTACTGAACGAAAAGTACTTTAAAAACACATACATGCACTTTTTATGATTTAATGCATGTCATATCATAACTTGTTAATAAGGAACTTGCATAAACTAGTATCCATGACTCTCTTTACATTAGCCAGAGTGTATAATGTCGTTTATAGTAAATCTGTAACTATACGCTATTTTTACAAGGCAACAACAGCAGTAGTGAGTAGTCTTGTAGGTAGCCGTAAGAGCTTTGATGCGTCTTTTCTGGTTTAGGGAAATTCCAGCCATTTGACAAAAGTGCAACCGATCGACACCAGCCTCAATTTAACAAGTGTTACACGAGCATAAAAATGAACTAAGGTCTTCTCCTTTTTGATATAAAACCACAGCGGAAGAAAGGGGAATACTTACATCATTATTATTGATTATTTATAGACAAAAAAGGAGAAATAGTACAAGTAAAGTGAATTTCTCTAGTCGTCTTTCTCTGTCCATTCTCACTTTCCCCTCTTCTTTTTCTCTTGTAGTAAAATAAGCCAAGATGTAACTGTATAGTAGGCCTCAAAACAAAGACAAAGGATTCTAATAAATGTATTCTTCAGTATGATGACTCCTTGTCACCGCAGGTCATTGATTGTCCCTTATTTAGTCGAGTCTTATTCAAGCAAGATGAATAACCTCTTGGCCTATATGTTTCATTATGGAAAGAAAAAAAATTTTTTTTCTCTTAATTAATGCTACTGAAAAGAAATACTTTAGCTTTGATATTATTTTATGATGATCCCTTTATGATGTATTCGGAATTGACATTTGACAGGATGTAATCTTTGATAACTTTGTGTAAATGAATGAAATCACACTCTGGCAGCAATGGTTGTCATAGTAAAAATCGGAGCTTTATATGTAAAATTAAATAAATAGGCTTTTTTTATTGATTTGATCGCTTTTCTTTATTCATTATTTTTTTTCGTATGTCTGGAGTACAGGAAGATAAAAGCTATGAAGCATCGACTTCAGGCGCGCCTACAAATACAAACAATTCTTTACTGTCAACCCATCCTACTCGGGAAGGAACACGATTTAGCTTATTTAAAGAGAAACAGAAAAAGATACCTGCTATGCAAGGATTGAAGACCATTATCCTATCCTCCTATGTGAATTTACTCCTCGTGTTTGTACCTATCGGAATTGCTTCTCATTTTGTCTGGTCTCCTACTATTACCTTTATTATGAACTTCTTGGCAATCGTTCCGTTGGCTAAGCTCCTTGGGTTTGCTACTGAAGACATCGCCCTTCGTACAGGAGAGGTAATAATACAGTACGAAACGAAGATAAAAAGAGCTAATTTATTCTAGGTTATTGGTGGTTTATTAAATGCCACATTCGGTAACGCTGTAGAACTTATCATCAGTATCATCTCACTCACCCAAAATCTGGTCGTTGTCGTGCAAGCATCTATGCTCGGTTCTATTCTTTCAAACTTACTTCTCGTCCTTGGCATGTGTTTTTGGGGAGGTGGTTACTACTACAAAGAGCAACACTTCAACAAGACTGTGGCTCAGACTTCAGCCTCACTCCTGTTTATCTCTGTAGCTTCTCTCTTAATCCCTGCCTCATTTTACGGTTCAATCACTTCAGCTAGATCAGAATCAAACGAGGATCTGACTCAGGATATTCTCCGCATCTCAAGAGCCACCTCTGTCATCTTGCTCGTTCTTTACTTTTCATATATATTTTTCCAAGTAAGTCAAGTGACTTAAAAAAAGATAGACGCAGTGGCTAAGTTACCTTTTTGAGTAGTTAAGGACACACAAGCACTTGGTACGTCCGAATACCGGGAATGTTCGATTCTTGTCTAATTTTCCTTTTTTATATAAATATGCAGTTCATAGGACCAACCATTGTAGAAAGTCGTGACATCACTAGACGTCCAGACGTTGAAGGAGGTTCAAGACAAGAAGAGGAAGAAGAAGAGGAGGAGGAAGAGCCACAATTACCTGCTTGGATGGCTGTTGCCTTGTAAGTCTAGCTTATATCTAAAAAAAAGAAATCAAACTAAAGCAGTAAAATAGACTAGTTGTCGTAACTGCCCTTGTCGGTGTCTGTGCCGAATTCCTCGTTTCTGCTATTGAAGATGTCACCAAAGTTTGGCATATCAGTGAAACGTTTGTAGGTTTGATTTTGCTCCCTATTGTGGGTAATGCTGCTGAGCATCTTACTGCTGTAACTTGTGCCATCAAGAATAAGGCAAGTATACCTTTTTGAAATAATACGATTGGGCTAATCCTACCTTATAGATGGATCTTGCCCTGGGTGTGGCTGTCGGAAGTAGTATGCAGATTGCTCTGTTAGTAACACCCTTGATGGTGATCATTGGCTGGGGCATGAATGTCGAGATGAGCTTATACTTTAACATCTATGAAACAGCTATTTTGTTTATTGCTGTTATCATGGTGAACTACTTGATCATGGTAAGTAAATTCGATATGTGCATAGAAAAGGAACTAATGACTTTTTTAGGACGGTGAAAGCAATTGGTTGGAAGGATTGATGCTTGTGGCTGTCTACATTGTGATTGCTATCAGTTTCTATTATTACCCAGATGAGACTAGTGCCAGTACAGGAGCTTTGCCTACTGGTAACACTACTGTATCATCATAGACTTCTGTATATATTTATATTTATATTAATCACTTGTTAAATATATTGGAAAATAAAATAACACAAGCTAATATATTTCAAACTATCTGATCTTGTAGTAATCATGTGCTATTGCTGACGTGTTGTAGATATTTACCCTCTCAGTAAAGAACAACACCAAAGAACTACTCATCGCTTTTCAGCACAAGCTTTCATATGAATGCTTGGGTTAACTTCAGGTTTAAAAAAAAAAACGGGTAAAGGATTAACACATAAATTAAATTACGGCCCAGACAGGGTTTGTTTGTTTTTCTTTTTCTTTTTGATTATAAATCATGACACTTAGTTGGGCAACTACCTCATTAACAAGAGCACTCAAGATACAGTACCCCATTATTCAAGCACCCTGTGCTGGTCATACAGGAGTCAATCTAGTTGCTGCCGTTAGTAACGCGGGCGGACTGGGTTCTCTTGGCGCAGGCATGATAGCGCCAGGTCAACTACGTGAAATGATTCGCGAAATACAGCAAAAGACAAAACATCCATTTAGTGTCAACCTGTTCTGTCGTCCAACACCACCGCCTTCTCATGAAGAACTTCAACATCATTATCAAGGAAGCGACGACGCTTTAAACGCTATTCGTGTTGAACTAGGCTTACCTATTCCGAAAGAGTATCAATTACGATCTCCACCCTTGGAGGAACAAGTTCAGGTTCTGTTAGATGAAGGTGTACCTGTTGTCTCTTACACATTTGGTTATTTGCCTGAAGCCATCCACAAAAAGTTTGTTAATGCAGGTGTCTATTTGATTGGAACTGCGACTACTGTCGGAGAAGCGATCATGCTCGCTGGCCTTGATCCCTCTAGTCCGACACGCAAGGCGGATGCAATCATCGCTCAGGGCATTGAGGCAGGTGGGCACCGAGGCTCATTTTTGGAAGGTGCACAATTGTCTGTGCGCGATTTAACCAGAAGTATCAGACAAGCTGTAGGACCTGAAATACCTGTTATCGCTGCTGGTGGACTCAGTAACGGCCAGGACGTGGTCGATGTTCTTCGTCTGGGTGCGGATGGTGCTGCCTTGGGAACCTTGTTTATGCTTTCAACTGATTCTGCCACCCCCAAAGCCCACCGAGAATACATACTCAAGGCGGATCAAAACCAGGTGGAGCCCACAAGAGTATCACGAGTGCTTACCGGAAGAGCCGTTCGTAGCTATCCCAATGCCCTCATGAAACGTCTAGAATCATTTGATGTTCCAGGTTATGATATTCATTCAGCCAAGACAAAGGATATAGCTGCCTATGCTGCTCAAAAGGGTATTCCTGATTATATGTGGCTCTTTACGGGTGCTCATGCATCTGAAGCCGCCAAGTACTCCGAGCAGGGCACATTGTCAGCTTCTGAAATACTCGGCAAGATTGTATCGGATGTAAATAAACATATAGCGTGATTTCCTTTTTTGAACAATAACAACACAGTTTATTCTACTCTTTTTTTTAACGGTTGTATCTTTCCAGCCTTCCAATGTAAAAGATAAACATGTTGGCTGCGCAGACGACAGCAGCAATACGGAACATCCAAGCAGACCCCAAATATTGATATAAATAACCTCCTACAAGCGCACCTAATCCTGTGCCGAGCCCAAAATGGAGAGCACCTAGAATGCCTTGTGCAACTGATCGTTGTTCGGGTGGGAAGAAACTATCCATTTCGCTAACAGAGGTAGCCCAAAAGATACCAAAGCCAATACCTGACAGAGTGTCAATACCTTTTTATGATTAAGCAATTTTACTTACCATGGAGGGTTTGAAGTGAAAGAGCAATGACGTTGGTAATAAATGAGTCAGGCACAAGTACTGTGTACGCCAAACATCGCACAATGGTTACAATGTGTGCAGCTACAATCATCTTTGTTACACCAAATCTTTCCTGTAACTATTTCCAGGGGGAAGGAGAAGATTAGAATGTTGTATGTGTATACGCGCGATATATTACCTGTTTAGAAAAGCAAAAGCAGAGTAACTCAGTTATGCCTGTCGTAGGTCCAGTCCAGCCGATCCAACTTGCAGGCATATGGAGCTCGCCGCTCAAGAAAAGGAACAAGAAGTTGATGATGATGGATAAAACAAATCCAAATAAGAGCGTAGTGATCAAGAAGGTCAAGATACGAGGTGAAGTAAATATCTGAGCTGAAGGAATCTCTTCGGGACTATGTTCCAAAATGCTCGCCAAAGACTGATCTACGGAAGCAATACGTGAGATGGCTAACCCCAGGTCAACACCGACAATATCAAGAGCTTCATCAGCTTCTTCTCGAACGGTATGTACAGATGCCAAGCTGTTGGTCTTGAACAGATCAACAAAATGACTATCTCCTGCCACAGAGTTTCTGTGTTGGTCTGAGATACTGTTGTAATTTTCGCGATTGTTGAATAACTTTTCAGCCGTCTTTACACGTTGGATCGGTTGCTGCTCTTCTTCATTTGCTGGGAGGTGTTCATATTGATTTGGTTTAGCAAAGAAGGCCAAGAGAATAAAGACCAGGGTAGACGAAGCATAAACATAAAAGATAGTATCAAGATTACCGGTATAAGATATCAATTGTCCTACAACAAGAATAGTCAATGCAGCCGAAACAGAACCCCATAAACGTTGCTCGCCTAACAAAGAATGAAACTTTAGCCCTTGCTTTCTTTGACAGTACAAGTAGTTGTTTACCATATAAAATTTTGTTGGGGCCCAATATTTTCATGACAGCACTGTCCACAAGAGCCATATTGGGTAAAGTGAAAAAAGCAAATCCTAAAGCCAACGAAGAGACGACGACGACCAAGAGTGTGTTGGATAGCTCAATACCAAATAACGTGCCAGAGGATTGACCGATGAACATAATGGCCATGATGGCTGCACCACCCAAAAAGGCAGTAAGAGCCATGATAAGTCCGTGAAGAGCAGGCTTTTTGTCAACGATATATGTCCAAAGAGGACAAGAGATAGATTGAATAAATGGAGCAATCGCCAAGACTAGGCCGATTTGATCAGAGGAAAAGTTGAGGGTATCATGATAGTATATTGGTAGATACGGTTGAGCTGCAGAGAGTACAGCAAAGATGGCTATGTAGAGTAGCTTACAGATAAGATACATATAGACTAGGGAAAA